TTGTAAGATTTGAGGCTTTCACGGCGGTGACTATGAAGAAAGCAGTCTTCTGGGATTTGGCACCGTGTATATGTGGTGTTAACCGACGTTTCGGAGGAACGTATCGCCTCCATCTTCAGGGTAGAAAAAAAATATATAAGAAATCTGCAAGCAAAGAGACCGCTTGCAGAATTCTTATACTTTTTCTTCTGCCCTGAAGATGGGGGCGATACGTTCCTCCGAAACGTCGGTTAACACCACATATACACGGTGCCAAATCCCAGAAGACTGCTTTCTTCATAGTCACCGCCGTGAAAGCCTCAAATCTTACAAAGGCTACTTATTTTAAAAAGTGAAATTATATAAATATTAAAGGGTAGTATCTTCCGGAATTTGAGACCGTGTAGCTGAGAGAAGTGTGTCCACGCTTCGGAGGACTGTAAGACAGAGGCATTACGATCGCCGTGAGAAGCCCAAGTGCAGCTCTCTAAACACTGTACAGTTCTCTCAAGAGAATTTGAACCTTGAGACGGAATTACTCGGAAGCATGTTTCTATCAAAATATTACACGCCTATTCGTGGCCCGTGTTATGCAATCTTCTTTCATCACGGCGACGACGACTGCGACCACGATCTTCCCCCGGGTAGGTGGCTCTAGCACCCCTCCCTCCAGGTCGGACACTGCCGTTCCTCGCTCGGTTATAAATGGACTCGAGTACCTTCACTCTGCGTTAGTCTCGTGCTGAAGTTGAACAGAAGTACTCCCAGGAGGTGATAGTGTGTTTGTAAAGTGACAAGTGATTCTAAGTGTTCCAACATGAGGCAGCACCTGCAGGTACTCAGCAGTGCTGTTATTTTCCATTAGATCAGCAATAATTGTTCCCATGTTTATACTTTAATTATATTTACAAATCAGACAGAGGTAGTTGCTTGCTATCGGTATAGCTGAGATAAATGAGGTAGCTTTTTATTGCTAGTGGGGTAGGACTTCTACTGCGGCCACTTCTTGTCGGTTGTTGGTTAGGTTCATTACTACGACTGAAGAGCTGGAAATAACTGCATCACAATAAAGTAAAATGAGAGGATTTTGTGTTCATGGTAATACAAAACACGAAATTTATTGACCATCTGAATGAATATAAACTACTTGGTAAATACCACAGAGTTAGTTAAATAAATTGTATAATTCATCTCTTGTTTAATTGTATTATATGAATTATCGAATATAGAGAGAAAACATATAAAATATTTCTAATGAAACTTGCTGGAAATGGGAAATTTGGAAAGCCTATAAGAAAATTTATGATAATATTGAAATTAACCTCATTGAAACAAATTGTGCCGATCGCAGTAGCAGCGAGGTCCAAGATATGAACTTTCTTCGCTCGCTCGAACGCTGGGTTCGTGGGTTCGAATTCCACTCGAGGCATAGATGTCTGTGTTTGTGTTGTTCTCTGAGCTGCTTTGCGATGGACTGATCCCCCGTCCAACGAGTCCTACCGAATATACATAGGATTAAGAAACTGAAAAAACGTCCAAGACCCAACAAAAAGGGCTGTGGAGCCATAGATATATAGAAAATTAATTATGAAAATATAAACTGGTCCGATCAACTTACAAATAGAATATGTCTAATATGGGGTTTTGATTACGAACCTTAGGATTCCGTTACCGAAGAGTTAATTAGGTAGTCAGTCATTAGGTCACTTATGATATACGGGAGACTGCATCTTTAAATACATTCTACTGAGCAGAGAAATACATGTAGAGTATTAAAGTTAGCAAATTATCCAATATTTGATTTATTAAATATCACAGCAACACAAAAGAACTGTATCCCAATTTCTTAACGAGGTAGAAAATGCATGTCCAGCCTAGGAATTCCGGCGCTTTCGTTTTTCATTGCCTCCAAATTTTAATTTCATAAATGATGGAGTTTGGTACCCTGCCATAACGAGGCCAGACTTGTTATTTCAAGCAAAACCGTTGATATATGCAATTAAATAAGGGTTTTCACTTTTTAAACAACACATACATCTGTCTGAAGACAATTATTGCTAACATATTTGAAACTTAAGGTAGGTAATGGTAGCGTAATAATTGTAGGTTGTTCTTTCACTTGTGTTTAGTTATCTCGAAATTAGCGAGACTTACTGGAAAAGGGTACAGGGCATAAAAAGTTTTTTTCTATTTTTCTCAGAAGTTTTCATTCAAAACACGTTTCTGTCAGATAAGTATCTAACGACCTGTGCTCCAGATGCGGTGTTCACGTAAGGTGGTCCGATCTGCATGAAAACTGAAATAGCCCGACAATTTTCTTTAAAGTACTTCAATACCAAATTTAATCAAAATAGATTTATCTGTTCTCTAAATTTTTCTTGTTTGCAGACGGGCAGAATGACTTTAATAATCTCCCAACCGGCGTTAAAAAGCGCCCAGAATTATATTATTAAAAATAAATATTCTTTATTAATCAAGATTCAAGGGAGAATATATTTATTCTGTGATAAAAAAGAGTAAGACATTTTGGAATTTAAACGAAGTATAGGTCTACAATTTAGCAGGGAAACATTTGATTAACTTCCATTATATAAAGGTCTGCAGTTAATCTTACAACACAAATTCTTTCAGTATTATTTTTGTGTTCAAATTTTCTGAAAGAAATTTTAAAATTATTTTCTTTTGTAATGTTTAAGTTGATGAGATATATATTTATTTCCAAATGAAGATTCTTATAGTTACCCTCCCAGTTGATGGAGAGAACACTTGAATAGTTTGTGTTTAGCATGAACAAGCACCCAGGCTAATGAGCGTCACCAAGGTCCTGAATAATGTCCGTGCTTGAAAATGACTTACCAGGCATTTGGCTTGTTGTATCCTCTCGCAGTTTCTTTCCTCGAAGAGATAACGGAACATTAGGCTTTAAATTATTAAATTCTATATTTGTTATAGTTCCCACTCCTTAACTTTCAATGAGATACAATACATGCAAACTTCATACTCTTTACGCATTCTTCATCCGTATCAAGCATCTTCGTGTTTCGTCTTACAAGCACGGTAACAGAATATTCTCGAAGAAGAGAGGGGCGGACAGATATCTCTGTGTTTATGGACAGTTAAGGTGGTGATGTTCACTGGAAATCTCCGGGCGTGCTAAGCCGGTCGGCGTCAAAATGCATACAATCGGTACAGGTTTTGTAATTACTTCTTGCATAATGGGCTATGACGCGTATCGGATTTACACTGCGCAATTTTCTAATATTTTCATACTACATGTTAAATAGGGCGCACATAGCACAAGCCGGAAGGTCGCGGGATCCAATCCCGAAGAGGTGGATTTTTTTTTCAATTTACATAATCGTTCCAGGCCCTGGAGTCGAATTAGCCTCTAATAGAAATGAGTACCGGGAATATTGCTGAGGGTAAAGGGCGGCCGGCGGGTAAGGCTGACAACCTTACCGCCATCTGTGAGCCGATTGTCTAGAAAATATGAGAGCCTCAACATCTCGCAAACCTATGGCCCTCCACGGCCTGTTACAGGGATACATTTACTTTACATTTTTACTTTTTAAATGTTAAATAAAACTCAGAATTATTGAAATTATTTTTAATTAGAAATCTATAACAAATCTAAATTAGACTACATAAATTTTAGATGCATCCATAAATCATATGAAACAAAACTACGTAATCATCTTCTAAACACTTTGAATTATTTTAAAAATACATTCATCTTTAAGTGACTGCAGTTTCCTCCTTAGTTATTACTGTATGTTACACACACACACACACACACACACATATATATATATATACACATACATACATACATACATACACAAGGCCACTTGAAATAAAATCGAAGGGCATGAGATGAGCGAAAAAGTGTACAAATGAGAGAGATGAGAAGTACATAGAATATTTTGATCGGGAAATCTGAAAGTGAGAGACTAACAATGGGTATCTTACGAGTAAATAAAACTACGCTCTTAAGTTGAAATTCAAGGAAATAGGATGCGAACTGGGTTAAACTGGCTCAGCATAGGGTCTAGTAATGGCTCTTATGAGCACAGCACTGAATCTTCAGGTTCTATAAAGAGAGATGGGAGATTGCTTTCTGCTTGAAGGACAACCCTGTTTCAATATTTGTGTTGAATCCACTTCTCACTGCCCAGGGTAAGTTCAGTGTTGATGTCACGACTGGTTGCATTAATTATTATACAGCAATTTTTCAAATATTATGTCACAAATACTTAATATATTCATATTGCAAAAAAGAGCCCTTGCTAGCAAGATATATGTTCTCTCTCTTTTCACTATCATAATAATCTACATAGCAGACAAGTAACTGAACAAGAAATAAAACTCACGTTACAAAATTAAAATTTTTCTCGTACAATTAAAAAATCAAGAGCTGAGAATGAAGACTGAAATTGCATCCAGACTCTCTACTGCAAAATTTGCATACCATCGAACATGGGCGTGCACTGTACGTACTAGCAGGAATAAGGAATAAATTTCATGATATCTTTGGGTTCTCTCTGTTAGCTTTGCTGTAAGTAACACAAGAAACAGAACAGTTACAAAATACAAGAAGCAAATATTCCCGCTCTGATATATTTATTAAAGAGTGACAGGCTGTTATGCAACCCACCTAACAGGTAGGTAGTTTGAGCTCCCAGCCAACTACGCATATGTTTATCCTGCTTGCACATTCTTCATATATAGAATCGAAATTGCTGCAGTATCTGTACTTACTGAGTTCTTATTGTAAAACCAACACAACTTGCATTTTTATAATCTCCATTTATGTAAAGAACTTTTCAACTTAGGGGCACGCGGTAACGTAGTTGGTCGAGGCACTATGCTAAAAGCTGGAAGGTCGCGGGATCGAATCCTGATGAGGTCAANGTTTATCCTGCTTGCACATTCTTCATATATAGAATCGAAATTGCTGCAGTATCTGTACTTACTGAGTTCTTATTGTAAAACCAACACAACTTGCATTTTTATAATCTCCATTTATGTAAAGAACTTTTCAACTTAGGGGCACGCGGTAACGTAGTTGGTCGAGGCACTATGCTAAAAGCTGGAAGGTCGCGGGATTGAATCCTGATGAGGTCAGTTTTTTTCCAATTGACCTAATCATTCCAACTGCATTATGGCCCTGCGGTCGACTCAATCTCTAAGAGAAATGGGTACCAGGAATATTCCTGGGGGTAAAGGGCGGCCGGCGATTAAGGCTGATCACCTAACCGCCATCTGTGTGCCGATTGTCTAGAAAATGTGGGATCTCGACCTATCACAATCCTATGGGCCTCCACGGCCTGTTACAGGGATAGCTTTGCTTTTTCTTACCTTTACTTTTCAACTTTGCAAAATAAACATAACATGATATTTGATACTAAATTTTATTTTCCCAAGGCGGCGAATAATAGGATTATGATCTCCTATGATATGGCGCCGCGTAGTTTTGTTGAGATATATGAATATTTCCGACTAGCCTACCGCCTCCGTCTTCAGGTTAAAAGACATCTACCTTAAAGAAGGATCAATCTACTTAAGAAGTTACACGGCGTCACATCCCAGTACACCGTGATCTAAATTCTTATATGTAACACATTTTCTCACTCCCAGCTGACACAATTAACCTTCAAATAAAGTAAGTAGTCCGTCAGAAGTGGCCGTCCTTCCCGCATAGGAACCTTGTTTATAATTTTTGCAAATTCATTATCGCAGTCCGTAATCCACCTCGTCAGTCTTCGGAATGCGATTACAGTCTTCAACGGGCACTATACTGTCATTCGTCAACCTTAGAAAACAACATAAAAAGTAGCCTTGCCTTCATTTGGGAATATAGTCTTTATTTCTATAAGGAAAGATAAGCCAAAACTTATGGTATTGTTTTGTCCGTGTGTCGTCATTTCGTGTTGAACCAGTTTAACAGATTTTCATGAAAATTCATGTTCTTATCGTACAATAAACGTTACTCTAACTCTGTAATGATTAATTTCGTATCATCTGTAAAATAAAATGCTTGATCTTCTGAGATAAAGCATTAATTAATGAAGGATTCTAAATAGTTTTATTGTAATTGAGATTAAAATATACGTGAAATTACTGTTTCGTTTTCAAATTTATGAAGATTATGAACTGTGGCAAGTAGTGCCACAATTTGTATGGGAGCAGAATACAAACACGCGGATCTGTAATTTCTGTTTTAATTTTTTTTTTCTTGGCACTACAGCCCCAGTCGGCCTATGCCTACCTCCATGAACTTTTCCGTCCACTTCGGTTTTTCTAGATCTTACGCATTCGGTAGGACTACTCGGGCGGGTGTACACAAACACAGAAAACGCACACACACAAACTAAACATCCATGCCCTGAGTGGGATTCGAACCCACGATCCCGGTTTCCAAGCGAGGGAAGACAGTACATTCCTTAGACCGCACGGCTACCGTGACCGGCTATGTTTTAAATAGTCTCTTCAAATATTAGTAATTACAAACACGGTCACTGAATTGCAGGAGAATTATTAGACTCGTTACAAACATCTGAAGGAAGGTACGCGTAACAGGCTCTTAATAACTATTTAACTAGCTAACCCCATGTAACAGAAACCTCCTTGTGAAGCCAATTCTCGCCCAGGAATTTAATAAATTCCCAACCTTTTACGAAAACCGAACGTTCGTCATTGGCTCCACAAGAGCCAGCCACTGAGACATACGAATCCAGTCGACATCCTCGAAATCATTTTGTTAAAATTCATCTTAATATTATTACGTCATCTACTCCTGGCTCTTCCAATCTCTCTCTTCCCCTCATGCATTTCTACATTTCTGTAAACATTTTCATCTCTTCCATATGTGCTAAATTGCTTGCCCTTTTTAATCATCTTCTCTCTCTTCCCCTCATGCATTTCTACATTTCTGTAAACATTTTCATCTCTTCCATACGTGCTAAATTGCTTGCCCTTTTTAATCATCTTCTACTTAAACAGCTTAATAACATTTGGCGAAGAACACAAATCGTTATGCTCCAAGTTACCTATTTTCCCATCATCCACTATTTCCTCTCTCTTATTTACTCCCCCATACGCCTTCATGGCATAATGTTTAATTAGTTAAGCAGAGGGACAACTTTACCTTATGCCCAAATGTCTTCCTCTGTGTCCTGTCTACAAATGCTCTCAGCCTCTTAAGTGGAATTCTCGCGCTTATACAAAAGTGCTGGTTTTATTCATTGCTACAACTAACATAATATCATGTGTATGGGGATACGCGTGACTAAGTTAACGGGTTCTAGTTCGGGTGATTGGATCTAATGGCACTTCGATTACAATCTTTCTTAATTAAAATTAATATAGAGCTATCGCTGAATTACACATTTTCCATTCACCGATACATACGCAATAGGTTTCTCAGTTTCCACTCTTCGTCTCCTAGCAACGGATCTCAACATAGAAACTAGCACTTCAAATCACTATGAAGTCTTCTTGCCATTTCTTATTCAATCACCCTGAAACCTCGGAACTCTTCTAAAAACTCTCCTGAACTTAAGTCCCATTCCCATATTCTCTTATATTCTCTCGGCATGGATCCCACAGAAAACGCTTGTCACATGTCAGATTGCGAGCTCATTGATCGGCTACCAGCGCTGGGTGTGGCGCGGACGACATAGGAAACACAGCCTCCTATATTGTTTCGTAAAGTAGCAACGGACTGTTTACTAAGGCGGCTCATACACGTACGTGTCTGGCTCGGCGAGCTTGACTCGGGAGCCGGGCTCGGATTAATTTTACCACACACGCATGAGCATGGCGATCCACACACCGACGAGTTTGGCTCATTGGAACCCGAGCCGAGTCGGACTCGCGACCCAGACACCTAAGTG